TGAAATGATGTGACTGATCTATCAAGCCAAAAATGCCCATTAAAGTCAAGTCAAGAGAGGTCTGTGTTCTGCGTTTTTTGTCGGTAATCGTGTAGATCGGAGGTCTTCAACAGGAAGTCCGCGACCCCCTCAGGGAACCGTGGAGGTACTGGATGGGGGTCGCAAAAGTTTTGGTTGATTAGACTTTTTTTTTTATATTCCTCCCCTGCAATTTTTTCCACTAATTGAAAAGTCTTTAAATACACGTTAATAGGAATTAAACAGACTGTGGTAAACAGATAAATGGAGGCAGAAGATGTCTTTCAGTCATCAACGCTCACATTCAGCCACACACAGGAGCTTTATCTATCTATCTATCTATCTATCTATCTATCTATCTATCTATCTATCTATCTATCTATCACACAGGAACTCTTTCAAGCTGGGCACTGTTTCGCTCACAACACCTGTCCCACCAACCTGGAACCAGAACCAGATGTTTAAAACAAAAACAGGAAGATATGAACCTGTGGATTATGTGAGGATCTCAGTATTGAATGCCCAATAGCAAGGTCCAATTACACACTATAGGACCAGTTTGATATAACACAATTTCCGACAATAATTAATAATTAGAGGGTCCCCGCTCCATCTCACCATCAGTTTGGGGGTCCTTGGCCTGGAAAACGTTGGAGACCCCTGGTGTAGTTATTAATCCCTCATCCATTCAGGAATGATTACGATTACCGCAGAGGGACCGGATCTCTGCTCCCGGCTGCTGAGGGCAGGTCTCGGCTCAGCTGAAAGCGTCTCCGACGGTCTCCAGCCGACAGGAAACGCTTGGTTGCCAGCGTTTCACAGCTCAGATACTCTGGGCGCATTGCCCAGGAGGGATTGGGCGAGCTCCGGCGCAGCAGCCGGAGCCTGGCAGCGGGAGGGGGACGCCCCTGGCTCTACAGCTTCCGGTCGGTACGTCAGCTTGACGTGGGAAAAGGGGTCCAAAACTAGCTTCTGGGTCATTTACAGCCCTCTTTCACCTTAGGTCAGTTCCTCCGGAGACACCAGGTCAATGGAACCAGTCATATCCTGACTGCTAATGGATTAGCAGTCACTGAGCTGGGGAAAAAGCACCACTGAATGGGCAGTTTTACCCCACCTGGGCCTTTGGTCAGGCGTGGTGGGGGATGCAGTGGATGGAAAGACGTCTGACAAACATTTAGAATCAGTCGTCCATTGACTGAAGGATGCTGATAAGCTAATGTCCTTGGGCCGGTCATCTCAATGGTTAAGAAAATGAATTCTTAGGGGGAGTTTGTCGGATCGTACATGGCCAATTCATCCTTGACTGAAAACCTCACGATGGTTTCAGAAATGGCCTTGGACCACTTTGTTATTCTAGACAAAAACAGCAGCTACTGAGACTCTACTTTTTATTCTTTGATAAACTGACAACCTGTGCCGTGACAGCTGGGATATAAAACTACTAACTGGTTGACACGCAGGTCACTGAGAGCCATCTGTGTTTTGAACAACTCTAGAGGGAAAATAAAGTATCACATGTAACTACAGCTCAGGGGATTTTGAGGCCATAAACTAAATCAGGAGATGTTCTGATTTACTTCCAAAGTAACCAATAAACTACATGTAAATACTTTCTGTCCCTCATCATCTAGTTCTCTTTACTGTTTTTTAAATGCACCAGAAGAATGAACTATGATAGAGTCCTTATCGAGTTTAGACCATAACTATTCTGCTCTATTCTGTGTCTTTATCTCAATCTTTTTGCACTTCACCTTGTAAAACTTTGCCCAAAGGACAGCTGTTTGCAGCGTTTCCATGGAGTCCAGTCACTCATTTCAAGTCTGTACAGATGACCAGCATTGTTAAACGCACAGTCATTCTGAACGTAGTTTTCCTCCATATCCCATAATGTCCAAT